ATTTATTTATTTATTTATTTATTTTATTTTATTTTATTTTTTTTAGGAATTTCTACACCCAGCATGGGACTTGAACTCAGGACCCCAAGATCAAGAGTCACATGCTCCTCTTTTTTTCTTTTTAATGTTTGTTTGTTTGTTTATTTATGTTTGAGAGAGAGACAGAGTGTGAGCAGGGGAGGGGCAGAGAGAGAGGGAGACACAGAATCCAAAGCAGGCTCTAGGCTCTGAGCTGTCAGCACAGAGCCCGATGCAAGGCTCACACTCACAAGCTGTGAGATCATGACCTGAGCCGAAGCCAGACGCTTAACTGACTGAGCCACCCAGGCACCCCTCCTCTTTTTTTTCTTTTTAAGTTTACTTATTTATTTATTTATTATTTATTTATGTTGGGGAGAGCACAAGTGGTGGAGGGGCAGAGAGAGGTGGACAGAGGGTGCTGCCCCATATGGAGCTTTAACTCACAAACCATGAAATCAGGACCTGAGCCAAAGTCCTCAACTGACTGAGCCACCCAGGCACTCCAAGAATCACATGCCCTTCTGACTGAGCCAGACAGGCAGCCCCATAAACACAATTCTTAATTCCCACCTGGAGTTCACAAACCCCACAGTATATGTTCATGAATGTACAGGAATCCATGACCTACAGTTAGAAAGACAGGATCCGTTCAACCCCCTCGAGAAGGCAGAAGTACCTGGGCGGCACAGTGTGGTGAGAACAAAGGACTGGACCAGGCTTGGTTCTACCTGTGAAATGGGGATGATTAGAGAATCTGCCTCGTATATGTTTTTTTCCCTAAAGAGTTTTTATTTTTAAGCAATCTCTACACCCAACATGGAGCTCGAACTCATAATCCATAGATCAAGAGTGGCACACTTTACCAACTGAGACAGCCAGGCACCCCTGTGTCTTACATTTTTGAGGCATAATTGAGTCAATGCAGGCAAGGTATGCAAGGCGCATGACACATCGTGAGTGTTCAATAAATGTAAAGCCACATAATTATTTTGGCTATTACAAACAACTATGTAATAGACATCCCTCTTGGCCTACTTACATGAATGTTTCAGGGGGAGCGATTCCTGGAAGCAGATTCCTGGGTCAAAGGGGAGCCTCATTATTTGTGCTCGTAACTCCCTTGCCACTCTCAACACTCCTCCCACCCCCAATCACCCACCCTCCCCACTTCCCACCCCTACAGGGGAATCACAGCCCTGGGTAAGCAACAGAGCTACAACAAAGCCAGGAGTCAAGAGAGGACCCTGACATCAGGCTCTCTGGGCTTCAAATCTCTTGGCCTTACCCCTTGCTAGCAAGTCACCTAACTTCCCTGGGCTTCTCCCTCCATAAAATGGGGATTATAAAATAGACTAGGACTGGGGGTCCTGGGTGGCTCGGTCGGTAAAGCATTCGACTCTTGATTTTGGCTCAGGTCATGATCTCAAAGTTCCTGAGATTGAGCCCTGCATCGGGCTCTATACTGACAGCACAGAGCCTGCTTGGGATTCTCTCCCTCTCTCTGCCCGTCTCCCTCCTGTTGTCTCTCTTTCAAAATAAAGAAATAAACATTAAAAAAAAATTAAAACACAGTAGGGCTGCTCTGAGACTTAAGAGACACAAGCATGTGAAACATTTCACATACTGCCTGGCTTAAAATAACCATTCAGTATTTATTTTTGCCAGGAAACAAGAAACACACATACATGATCCAAAATTCTAAATGTGCTATAAGGTGATGGGTGAAGTCTTCCTCTCTCGGGGCCCCAATTCATCCGTTCTTCTCCCTAGACTCAACTACTGCTGTTTTCCACTCACAGAAATTGGAGCATGTAATATACACTTGTATCTCTCTATTTTCACTTAAGGGAACAGCTTGGAAATCCTGTTAATAATTATAATAATAATTATTATTATTGTTTAAGTAGACTTTACACCCAGCACAGAGCCCACCTCGGGGCTTGAACTCACAACCCTAAGATAAGACCTGAGCTGAGATCAAGAGTCAGATGCTTAGCCGACTGAGGCACCCAGGTACCCCACTGTCATTATTATTATTAAGGGGGCTAAATGCCAGTGGGACTAACTGATGAGTATAAAGGCAGAGGGGGGCTGAGGGCCGGCTGGCAGCCATCCAACTTCAGCTCAGGTCATGATCTCACCGTTTGTGAGTTCAAGCCCCACATCAGGCTTGGCGCTTGACAGCGTGGAACCTGCTTGGGATTCTCTGTCTGCCCCTCCCCCCCCCAGCCCCTCCCCTGTTCACGAGTGCGCGTTCTCTCTCTCAAAATAAGAAAATAAACTTAAAAGAAGAAGAAGAAGAAGACTATGACAATGGAGATGAGAAGAGCAGCCCCTACCCCTTGGCACCAGAGAACCGCCCTCCAGGCCAGGTGTCCTTTCTGCACCTTCCCAGGAAAGCCGAATCCTGTGCCTTTAAATGTGCACAACACGTGCAGCACGTACCAGCAGTAACATCTGGGCAGCAGCCACCACTGGTTAAGGAGACAGGCTCTACTTTTGGATGAAGTTTGGACCAGGTTCAAGTTCTAGCAATTTGGCAAAGGGAGCAGGAAATAGATACGGAAGGAATGGAGGGCAGGCTGCACCGGGGTGAATCCTTTCTCCAGAGGAGGCCAGCAGCCTCCCAGATTGATTTCCTCTCCTGATATACAATGACTCTGGGCCCGTGGACCAGGGGAACCCCGCTGCCCAAGGACTTTTTCTATCCAAAGTACGACCGCTGTGACCATTGAGGTTCCCCTTGGGTCCCGGCAAATGGAGAGTTAGAACTAGGTTCTAAAGCCACCTCCCTTACTGTGGTCCCACACCACCTGGGTGATGTCAAGCAGGGTCCCTTCACTTCTCTGGGCCTCAGTTTCCTTATTTCACAAATAGGATACTGCCTAACTCACAAGGCTGTTGTGAACACAGAATGAGAAAGAACTTTGAAAATTGAACCAGGCAACATACATTCATTCTCCATCCCTCTGCCCATCCCTCCATTTCCTTCTTGAAAGATCTGGAATTCCAGTCTGTATTCTCCTGAATTCAAAAACATCCGGTGGATTCTGGCACCAAATCCTGTCTCCAGCTGCAGAAATTCCCCGCCTGCCAGGGGTCCCAGCTGGGAGATAGAAAACCTGGATCGCACCCACACCTCTTCCCTTTACTTGCCTTGTGACCTTGAGCTGGCTACTGGGTCCCTCTGTGCTCCCTCCTACCATCTGTACAGTGAGTACATCTCTGTACGATGAGATGAGCTCCAAGGTGCCCAGGGATTGTAACCATTTTCTAACAATAACATGTGTTGGTTTTGTTTGGATTGTACAAATAGGATATATTAATTGCATGAAAAATTATAAGGGGCGCCTGGGTGGCTCGGTAGGTTAAGCGTCCGACTTCGGCTCAGGTCATGATCTCACGGTCCGTGGGTTCGAGCCCCGCGTCGGGCTCTGTGCTGACAGCTCAGAGCCTGGAGCCTGTTTCGGATTCTGTGTCTCCCTCTCTCTGTGACCCTCCCCCGTTCATGCTCTGTCTCTCTCTGTCTCAAAAATAAATAAATGTTAAAAAAAAATTATAAAAGCAATGAAAAATATAAATAAGAAAATAAAAGTAGGGGTGCCTGGGTGGCTCAGTTGGTCAAGCATCCGCGTCCGACTTGTGATCTCAGCTTAGGTCTTGATCTCAGGGTTGTGAGTTCAAGCCCTGTGTTGGGCTCCGTGCTGGGCGTGGAACCTGCTTATAAATAAATAAATAATAAATAAATAAATAAATAAATAAATAAAACTACCAGGAAATAATATATGTAATATATAATATATAACTATACATATATACAATTCCACACCTGGATATAATCACTGCAAACATTTGCCTGTCATTTGCTTCTGGCATTGTCTCTATTGTATTCACGAGAGTGTATTTTTACTGAGTGGGGTCATATTGTATGCCCGCTGACATTGATAGAGTATTTCCCTTGCTGAAGCAGTCTTAGGGTATTGATCTCTCTTTTCCCCAGGACCTATGCATGGCCTACTCTGTTCATTAACATCCAAGACATGCCTCTTCCAGCCACCCTTTGCCCCTCCAGGGTTTGGAGGGGGGCCTGCCGCACCCAGAGCTGCACCCAACCACCCACGCCTCTGGAGCTTACTCTGCGGGAAAGAGGCTCCCGATCTGTCTGAGGGCTTCTTCCTAGGAAGGGAGGATGCCTTTCTTTCCCCAGACTTGGATGCCCCTGGCTGACATCTGTGCCAGGAGCCCTTGGAGGTCCTAAACTAACTCCCACTAAACTAAACTAACTCCCTTCCTTCCTTCCTTCCTTCCTTCCTTCCTTCCTTCCTTCCTTCCTTCCTTTTCTTTCATTCACTCACTTAACACGGCGACTTCAGAGCAAGACCTTTCTTGGTTTAGAGGTTCTGTTTGCCGCCCAGGGACTTAAAGGCGGATTAAGTGATTTCCTTTTTTGGTGAATGGTGATGCACTTTCTGCATTTCCAGCAGCCGGGGGTGGGGTCTCTCCAGGGGTGCGGAGGGCCCTGATCGCCCCGAACACCCCCGTATCCCCCGCTCCCTGCGGTAGAGAAGCCCCAGAGAAGAACGGGAGGCGGGCGAGCGGGCGGAAGGACCCGGGAGCCGCCCCAGCTCCGCGAGGCCCCAGTTCGGGCGAGTCTGCGGGAAAAGCCTTCCCCCGGGCGGGCGGCGGGGAGAGAGGAGAGGGCGGCGCGACACCGCCCCCGGGGCGGGCCCCGTGCGTGGCAGCCGGACCGCGGGCCCCGTCGCGAAGTTTCCAGCCTGCGAGCGCGGCGGGAACGGCCGGACGTCCCCAGACCCTGGCCATGCGGCCGCTGCTGCTCCTGGCCCCGCTGGGCTGGCTGCTCCTGGCCGAAGCGAAGGGCGACGCCAAGCCGGAGGGTGAGCGCGCGGGCCGGGCCCGGGGCCGAGAGGCTGGTCTGGGCTGCACGGGAGGCCTGGGCTTCCGAGGGGATCCGGGTTCCGGCCGTTTGGCCACTAACTCGCTGGTGACTCGGACAAATCACTTCCTCTGTTGGCGCTGCGGTTCCCACGTCCGTGCAGCCGGGAGGGGAGGGACAGCCGAGATCCATCCAAATCATAATAGCTCTCATAACAGTAATACCAATGGCTACTGTTTAGGGAGCATTTATTATGGGCCAGCTATCGGTTAAGCGTGATCTCGACCCGCGGAAGCGAGCTCTTCTATTACCCCCTTTTCCAGCGGGGCACACTATGTAAGGTTCTGGAGTCGGCTCACTTGTCCAAGATCACACAGCTTGGGGGCCTTGGAACCAGGATTGACACCCAGGGGTGCCTGGTTTCCGAGCCGGGCTCAGAGACAGTAGGCATCACAGCCACTGGGGTGGGGAGAGGAGGGGGTGGCTCACATGGCAGAGCCATTTACGCTGTCATATCAGTCCTCTGCGGTCTGCGGGGCACCTGCTGGGTGGGTCTTAACTCTCTCCAGGTTGCACCTGGGGAAACTGAGGCTCAGACAGATGCAGTGACTACCCAGGATTGTCCAGTCTTGGAGTGGTTGGTTCTAGACCCACTGGACTCCGTGTCTAGGGTTCCCTCTACATCCCCAGGGCAGGTTTCAGAGTGTGCCCCATCGTTCTGAGTAGGTGCTAGTGTCTTCCCCACCGCTCCTTGGGTCACCTCCAGGGTTGCCTGCTGAACATCTGCGAGCCTGCAGGAGAGCATAGCCTGTGGGCAATCCCAGCAAAGCAGAGCTGAACTGGCCATCCGACCATGGTACCCTGTTTTGTCTGCCCTCCTTCCTGAGAACCCGGGAGCCAGAGGAGGCAGGATGGTGGTATAGAAGACCCTCACCAGGGGAGGGGATGGGAACCACCGTTTCTTAGTACCTCCTTTGTGCCAGCTTGTGCCCAAGGCCACACATCTCCTAGCGGTAAAGCCCGTGGTGACTAATCTCCATGAAGCTTGGTGTTCTAGCCTGCAAAGTGGGGGCAGTGGTACCTGAGTCCTAGTGCTCTGACCAGGATTCCAGGAGATGAGGCCTCCTGGTGAGGGTTCAGCTCAACACCTGGCCTATACTGGCATTTTCTTTCTTGGACCCGGCACCGCCTGCTTTCCTGGAGTATCCCAGCAGGGTAGTAAAACAGGTCAAAAAAATCCAGTGATGCAGGTGCTGAGCACAGGGCTAGGCTGACAGTGTGTGCCAAAGGCCTGTGGCCTGGGTCCACTCGCTGGCCAGGAGCTAGGCGCCCTATAATAGCCTTTGTTTCCTGGGCCTCTCTTTCCCCTGCTTCTGCTGATGTGGGCTCCCTCCGCCTCAGACCACTGAAGGAGAAAAAAACTCCTGCTCCTGCAATGAAGCCCACAGAAGTGAGTCAGGGACCAAATCGATGACAAGGCTTCAGGCGTGCTGGCCCCGGCAGGTGACCGGAGGGGACAGAGGAGACAGAAGGGAGTCCCATTAAAGGTGCAGGATTGAGTGTGTGACTGAGATGATCCAGGCGGAGCACCTTGTAGATCGTAAGTAGATAGTAGATTGATGGACAAGAGGTAACAGTTTGCCAGACATGGAGCTAACGTCAAGCCCCTCTCAGGTTGAGGCCCTTCTCTTCCCTTACTCTATCCAGATCCTTTTAATAAGTAAGGAATCATTAGCCCGTTTTGCAGATAGGAAGACTGAGGGCCCAAAAGGTTAAACACCTGGTCTCGGGTCGTGGTAGGTGCTTGGAGGTGGGGTCATTGACTGGGACTCAGACCCGCTGCTCATCTCCGCCGACCCCTGTCTGGACGGGGTGGGGGTGGGGTGCTGTTGGTCAGAGATGCTGTCTGGAGGAGCCTGCTCAACTCTCCCAGGCCCAGCTGAGGTGGGACCCTCAGCCTGCTGGCTAGGACAGAGTGGGAGGGTAGTTGGTCCTGCAGGCCCACTGATTGGTGTCGGGAGTGGGGGACGCTCCAGCACCCCCCAGAGAGGCCAGCTCCTCCCTTTCCCTGGTTGGGCTGGGGTGCCCGGTCGGTGCCAGGTGGCTGGAATGGGGCAGCTGCCGAGGAATGTTCCAGTGGGTAGGTTCAGGAATGGCGCTCTTCGCAGCTTGTACCCACACGCACGTGGATTTGGCACATGGAGAGAAAGATGGGGTTTTCACTTTAGGGAGTTCCCAATTTTAGCGGTGGGTGGGCCCAGAACTGCTCACCTCAGTAGGTACCCAATGTTATGGGGGGGGGGGGGAATACAGCCCTCTGCTCCCAGAATGCCCTATGCTTGAGAAGGGAGACATTGCCCTATGCTGGGGGAGCCCCCAGACCAATGTGGGAGACAGAAAGAGATGGTCAACAAAGCGACATTCAAACGAACAAATTCCCATAGACCTGGTCCTTTCTCCCTTTTGTAGAGACTTCTAGCTGATCACTGCTCTCTCCCTGGGCTCCCGCCTGTCCCTGCAGGCCTCGGTTTGGCCCTGAAGAGGGAAGGCCCACCTGGAGCCTGACAGCTGCCAAGTTCCAAGGCTCTGGGAAGTCAACAGGGCGTGGGCGGGGGTCCCGGGTCATGCTGTTCCAGGCAGGGAGTGGAAAGGTCCCAGGAGGCAGGCGGGCCCAGCTGGATGTGTGTGGGGGGAGGGAGTGTCCGAGGAGGACTGAAGGGGCAGAAAGGAATAGGGCTTCAGACCCAGGAGAGGCACGCCGGGCTCCTGGGCACTGGGAATGTACATCTCCTGCCATTCTGCCGCCCCGTTTATGGCTTCCGTTCAAGCCTGGGGGGAGCACGGAGGATGGGGAGGAGCTTCATTCCCACCTCCCCAGAGAGCACACTGGGTGCGTCATGACCGTGCCGGGAGAGCCATCTTGCGTCCCCAGCCTTCTCTTTGGACCCCAAAGAGGGATCTGTATTCCCCCAGGCCGCCGGGCTCAGCCTGTCCCCATCATTCTTGCTCTCAGCAAGGTGGCTTTTCTGCATCCCTGACCCCCGGGGCAGCACCTGGCCACACACATGCCCTTCTCTCGGGACGTTCCCTATGACATGTGGCACCCGCAGCCAGGTACTGTGCTAAGCACTTCACGGACATTAGCTCATTCAGTGCTCACGAAAGTCTCTGGACGAAAGTACTACTATTGTTGTTATGACCCCATTTTACAGATAAAAGGCACAGAGAAGCTAAGTTACTCACCAGCAGTCTGTCTGCCACTCTGCTCTGCTGCCTTTTGCTCACCTCTGATCCTGGATCACAGCCTGTCTGTCGGGGAAAACCAGTGCTGCACTTTGGGCAGCAGGTCTGGAGGGCCAAGAGCCCTGGGTGGCAGGCCTCGTGCGGACCCTGGCTTTGGCCCCCGGTGGGCCGGCCGGACCGGCCAGAAAGCAGGGGGGGCAGGGCCCTGGTGCTCCATACTGAATCCTCCACGTTGACACCCTGTGGCATGCCCTGCGCTCTGGCTGCCTGCCGGGTGACTGGAGCCGAATGTCCACGTTGGGGATGCCTGAGAGAGGGCGGCTGGAAATGCTGGATTCGGTCTGCAGCCTTCCAGGATGTTGGACAGAGAAATGGGGAGGTTAAGAACACAAGGCATTTGGAATTCCAGCTCATTCCCTTCTCCCGGCAAGATTCTGTGACCTGCGGCAGGTCATTTGGACTCTCTGTGCCTCAGTTTCCTGCCTATAGAAGGGAGGGGTAGAACTATCACCTGCCACATGGGATGTCGATAGTTAAATGTGATGACTGTAACACACTTTGTGTGGCATGTGGCTTCTAGCAAGGGCTCAACCGGTGGTAGTGCTTACTAGAGTCACCTGCCCACTGTGCTCCCTAAGGCCAGACAGTATACACCAGACATCCTGAGTCACACTCAGTCCCAGCCCCAGGGAGGGGGAGGGAGGCCAAGGAAATAAAGACAGGAGCCTGGCCTGGCAAAAGGGACAAGGAACATGTTTGTACTGGTGCATCACCTCCTGGGATCATCCTGGAAATCAGAGAAGAGACAGGCTGGGTGGGTGGGGAGGGTCCAGCATAGCCTGGGACCTTCTCCTCAACCTCAGCTAGGGTTTTTTTCAGACAGATGGAGAGACAGACAGCTGGTCACTGCCCCAAGCCAGGGCAGTGCGTGCAGAGGTTAAGAGAGGGGACTCTGGGTCCAGACTTCTGTGACCACATTCTGGTGCTACCACTTCCTGGCTCCCTTGGGCAAGTTACTCACCATCTCTGAGCCGTAGGTTTCTAACTGTAGAGTGGGGAGTTAGGAGAGTAAAGTGCTTAGAACCAAGTCCTGCGTACCAAAGGTATTTGGTGAAGGCTAGCCATCGGGTACCCGTTCTTTTGCTAGGGGGAACTCAGGAAAGGAACCTCGAGATGCCTACCCCCCAAAGCCCCTCCCACCACAGCCTGTCTTCAGGAGCCCTGATCCACCAACTTACACAGACACACACACACACACACACACATGCTGGCTTTGTCCATCTATGAAATGTGACACTCCCTGTCCCAGTGTTCCCTGCCAAGGACAGGAGGGCCTCAGAGCCAGCCACTCTCTCTCGTCAAGGGGTGGGGGTGGGGTGAGGGGGGTGGGGGTGGGAGTAGGGACACTTAACCATCCTGGCAAGAACTGGGGGAACCTCTCCTCAAGTGTGAGCAGCACCCCTCTTTCCTGGCCCCCAAGGTCAGGCGGTGAGGCCTCCCCTTTCCATACCTACCTAGTGGATCTACCCCTTCCTCCCCAGGGCCCTGGGCCCACTTCCAGTGGATTCCTGCCAAAATCTTCTGAGCTGCCCCCTGCTCTGGGGCCAGCAGCCTGCCCAGCTCCGCCAGCTCTGCCAAGCGGGATGCTTCTGTTCTTTCAGCCCAGGCTTCTCTTGTTTTTAGGGGGTGGGGGTGTATGGGAAGGCCTTACTTGCCTGTGTTGGCCTGGCCACTTGGTGGGTCAGTTCACCCAGGGAAGCATTATGTCCTGGACCCCACGAAATGGTAGTAAGTGCTACAAAGGTGGTGGTGGTGGGCGGGGGGGTGTCCTACCTCTAAAGGCAGGAGAGAGGTCAGGACAAATCTCAGAAGGCTTCATAGAGGCGGTGGCAGGGAAGGGGTGTCACTGTCACTGGCTCTGGGACCTGGAGGAAGATTAGCGAAAGGGGACAGAGAGAGGGAGCTGGGGTAGGAGGGGAGGAGCTCAGCAAGGTGAGACCCCTGGCTGGGGGAGATCTCGTCCACTCAGTGGAGGGAAGGAGTACATCACTGGGCCGATCAGGGGGGGCCTTGAATGCCAAAGCAGGGTGCTTGCCTCTCACTGATCAGCACCAGTCATAGCTCTTAGTAAAACCCAACAAGGGTTTTACAGGCCTGATCTCACTGAATTAGTCTGGCATTCCCTGAAGTGGGTAACAGTACCCTCCCCTTACCCGCGGCCTCGGTTACTCACGGTCAACCAGGGTCCGGAAGCAGATGATCCTCCAGCCTAACTATGTCACAGTGCTGTGTCATTCAGCTCGCTCTGTTTCGTCAGGTAGGCATTTAGATGTCACATCATCGCAAGGAGGGTGAGCACAGTGCAGTAAGATATGTTGAGAGAGAGGCCACATCCACATGATGCTTATTACAGTATGTTGTTATAATTGTTCCATTTTATTCACGATTGTTCATTCCTTACTGTACCTCATTTATAATCACATTTTATCGTAGATACATACACATAGGAAAAAACATTGCGTATATAGGGTCTGGTACTGTCTTTGGAGCGGTCCTATCCACTGGGAGTCTTGGAATGCATTTCCCGTGGATAAAGGGTTGACCACTGTACTGTTTGTCGTTTGTTTGTTTTTTGTGTTGTTTTGTTTTTTTAAGTCATCTCTCTGCCCTGCGTGGGGCTCGAACTCATAACTTCAAGATCAAGCGTTGCATGCTCTACTGACTGAGCCAGCCAGGTGCCCCTTCGTACTGTGATCTGGAAGGGGCTTCCCCAGGGCTCCCAGAGATGCCCCCTGGGGAGCTGTTTTCAGCAGGGTTTTTTTTTTTTTTTTAATGAATCATGATTTCCTTAAGTCGGTGATTAACTCTGATTGCAATCAGAATCAATTGGGTAGCCTTTTTTTTTTTTTTTAAGGTTTATTTATTTTTGAGAGAGAGAGCAGAAGCTGGGGAGGGGCAGAGAGAGAGAGGGAGACACAGAATCCAAAGCAGGCTCCAGGCTCCGAGCGGTCAGCACGCATTCCGACGCGGGGCTGGAACTCGTGGACCGCGAGATGGTGACCTGAGCCTAAGTCAGATGCTTATCCGATGGAGCCACCCAGGTGCCCCTCAGCAGGTTCTATTGCAGAGGTGAAGCCACACGACAGAGCCTGAGAGAAGTCTCTTATTAAGGTAGTACAGCTATTCTGGCCAAAGCTGAGGACTTCAAGTCCGTTTCCACTCAGGGTCAACTCAGAGGTTCTCACATGTTGGCGGAGAGGCTCAGCAGGAAAGGCTGTTGGGATGGATTAGCAGTGTGCGCCCTGGGTGCAGGCAGGTGGCCATCGCTGGGCTCATGTCCAGCATCAGCTAGAGAGGTCCCCCTGGTGCTTGGCATTCAGGACAAACCCTTCCCTCCGCCCCCGTGTTGGGGCCACAGCCCCCTAAATCCAGAGAAACCCAGCCCCACCATGCAAGGTGCAGACGCTTCTGTTCTGGACGCCTCCTGTCGTGCCATTCAGTTCCCAGGGGGACAGAACCCTGGAGGAGATTCCAGGAGACCCAGGTTCTGTCCCCGCTCTATCATTAACCAGCTGAGTGACCTTCCGTACATCTTTCCTACCCGGGCCCTGGGCCCTTGTCTGTAACGGGTGGACGTGAGGGCACATCCTGCGGGGATTTGACACATGTAGGAACAATGACCTGCTCCTGCCTGTCACCTCTCCTCACCCTCCATTCCCACTCACCACGCCGTCCTCTGTCCATAGACAACCTCTTAGTCCTCACGGTGGCCACGAAGGAGACTGAGGGGTTCCGACGCTTCAAGCGTTCAGGACAGTTCTTCAACTACAAGATCCAGGTAAGAGGCTCCCGGTGGGGGGAAGGGGCCAGGACAACCGCGGGGTAGTGGGAGAGTCCAGGAGCTGAGTTTTTGCCCTTCCCAAACTGATTGGGGCCACAGGGAAAGCTTCTGGAAGCCCAAAAGAGGAGGATGACTTAGGAAAAGCAAGAAGGGGAGAATGTAAGCAAAGTCTGGGAGGTGCCAGAGTTGGGAATGTGGGGAAAGTGAGACAGGAGGGCTATGGGGCAATGCTAATGCTAGGGGAGTAGGGCTGGTTTAGAAGGCAGGGCCTGGGAACCAGCATTTTACCAATTCTCTCCTCCCCCCTCCCCCGCCAAGGGATTTTGAGACGGCTGTAGTCTGGAGATCTTACCTGTATAAACTCTGCTCTAAAGAAACAGAAGCCGAGCTGTCCTCTGGTGTCCTCTGTGTGCAGGATGGGGGCTAAGCCCTGCAGGGAGACATTCCAGTATTTAGCTGAGTGTGCTGAGTGCCTCCTTCTGTCAGGCACAGTGGTAGGCACTGGGGCTGGAATGATGACAAGGCAGACCAGGGCATTGCCTACACAGCTTACAATCCAGTGGCATTAAACCAGAAAGAAAATGGATTAGCTCACATGAATGCAGGTTGAAGCAGAGGGTTGCTTCAGGCATAGCTGGATCTAGGGATTCGAGCTGCATGGTTAGGGCTTTGTCTTTCTATCTCTAGGTTCTCTTGGCCTTCATTTGCAGGCATGCTCTCTCTACATGGTGGCAGGATGACCACCAGTCACAGACCCACATGCCTCAGCTTCTCAACCTCGACAGAACTAGACAGCCTTTCCGTAGTTGGGACAGAACAGTCCCGGGGAAGAATCTGACAGGCCATGCTTAGGTCACATGCCCAAACCCATGGCTGGGGGAAGGATGGGACACTGATTGGCCAGGTGTGGTCACATCACCCCCACCTCCACCCCCAGAGCTCTGTCAGCCTCACACACGGTGTAGAATGGTTTCCCCACAGGTGAGGGAGGAGGTGCTGGACAGACAGGCAAAGATGTTCACTGTTCAGGCAGGGGTAGAATTTTGGCTGGCAAGATAGTTCTGTACCAAAAGCCCACATTAAGAGGCCTTTCTCTTCAGGCACTGGGCCTGGGGGAAGACTGGAATGGGGAGAAGGGGGCGTCATCAGGTGGAGGGCTGAAGGTTCGGCTGCTGAAGAAAGCTCTGGAGAAGCACGCAGACAAGGAGAACCTGGTCATTCTCTTCACAGACAGGTAGGTGGCTGGGGGCTTCCTGGGTGGGGCCCAGAGAGAATATTCTAGAATATTCTAGCCCTTGCGGGATATCGGGGGTGAGGGGGGACTCGCTCTAGCTAAGGTTGCCTACTGTTTGAGGGGGCCTGTGAGCCCAGAAAAGACCATTCCCAGGGGTGGTGAGATGGGCAGGGGGCCCTGCCCAGGTGGGGTGAGCCATGCTTCGAGTGTGAGGTGGGGACCATCTCTGCCCAGGGTGGGGTGGCAATGCCACAGGCTGGGCCAGAGACAGCAGGGCAGAGCCGTTTCCCCTGGCGTGGCCCAGGGGTGGTGTGGGAGAAGGTGGCCTCATGAGCCCCTGCTCACCTCTGCCTCGCCCCCACTTTCCTCGGCTCTGGCCACAGCTATGACGTGGTGTTTGCGTCGGGGCCTCGAGAGCTCCTGAAGAAGTTCCGGCAGGCCAGGAGCCAGGTGGTCTTCTCGGCCGAGGAGCTTATCTACCCTGACCGCAGGCTGGAGGCCAAGTACCCGGCAGTGTCCGATGGCAAGAGGTTCCTGGGCTCTGGAGGTGAGGAGTCTGGGCGCGGAGGCCGCGGTGGGGCTGGGCGGGTTCCAGAGGGGTCCATCCGCTGCCGTCGGGACATATTGCCCCCTGCAGTCCTCGTCGTCTTGTAAACAGCCACCCATCTGCACAGATCAAAACCAGAGCCACCCCCAAATATC